AAGGCGCCCTGCTGATGCTGGCCAGCCTCAGCACCGTAGAGGGAGGTATAGAATTCTCCCTTCCTGTTCCCCACTCATATTGAGACACACCAGAAACGTCAGAAGGAGTGGGTGGAGGAGAGTCAGCCATGTGCGGTGTGGTTTGGGGGAAGAGAAGAAACACGTACGGAGTCTGAAAAATCACTCGAACTTGAGGACCCACAGGAGCTGTTTGTCATGGTTTGGTATGGAAGACTCGTATGGTTCTATCGATGTTGATTCTCGCCTAGATCACTGGTCAAAGGACAATGAAGGAAACGTGTTAACCGCAAAGTGGCGTTGTGAGCGATTCATCACAGATGTGGACATCATGTGAGCCTGGTCACATCACCGGACATGCATTGCACCTTCGCATGTTGGATGTTACATTAGTTCTTCTACAATCCAAACAACTTGTGAGGACCCTATAAAATTTGTCTTGTGATCTGCGCAGAACAGCCGCGCATGGTACATAATGCACGGAATACTGGGACTGGCAAATCGTTATTACTAGTTGCGCTCAACTGGATATTATTATCATTAGACGACCCTACATTCACCATTCTACAAAACTCATGCCGATAGTATTCTCAACCTCATTCTTGAGGGGACCAACTGTCCAACTGCTCTTCTCGCCACCAGCATGCACGTCCAATAACTCCTTTAACGGGTATGGTGCTGCACTTTCTCAAGCGGCGTGTTTACATTTTTGCTTGCAATACTCTTTCTGTCTGCTTATTCCAGGTGAGTTGCGAGGACAAAGGGCTTCGTGGTACTATTCCAGGCCCATAGGGTATGGCGAGCGTGCTGCCCATTGTACTTAAGGTTCTGGTCCACATGCATCTGGTGAGAACAATGGAGAAGGCATCTAGCTAGTCCTAAGTTTGGTCGTGTTACGCTCGAAGATGAGACATGGATGCAACAAGGAATCAGAATACGATCCATGTCTGTGGAAGCGAGTATTTACCTCCCTCCTCCTCAAGCGTGTAACTAACCATTTGAATGCGTGTGAACAGTTCGTGCCCAAGAGCCATTCGTCACTCTGCATTTAGCTTGACAGTGCTCACCTTATGTGCTTGCCCTTGGGGTTTCATCCGAAACGCCTATCCAAAACCTAAATATATAGAAGCGACATCTCTTGCGAGACGGTTCTCCCTCCCCCGCATGTGGCCATGCCTCCGCTGTGGGTGGCTCTAGTAGAATAGTCCCTTCCCGCGAAAGTTCCTAATCAGAGAATTTCGTGAGAGGTGGAGTTTCATGGAGCAAGAGAAGAGGTAAGACAGGGGGACAGACAGACTTGCATACCCCTCGCAATATCTGCTCTTCGCCTTTGATAGCACGCTGAAAGTGAGCAGGAAGTCCGTCTTTCCCGCCGTCCAGCATGATCTCGGTCTAGAGGGGAGCAGTCATTGATGTATATATTTCTTTATATTTTTCAAGAGCTGCAGGAATACCACAGGACGCGGGATGATATCCTCCTACCACGCGGACAAGAATTGCCTCAGCAAGGGTTGGCCCGCAAATCTGAGAACATATGATCCTTGTTTCCAGGCTGGAATCTATACCAGCTGGTGCAGGGTGAGGTGAACAGTGTATTTTTGAGGTGCAGTGATACTATTTCAGAAAATAATGGGATGTGTGGCTGGAAATGTGTTCCATGTGATGGGGTATGATTATCTACTCTAGGGAGAGGTATTAACAAGCACTTGAACCACATTCCACTCCCCTGGGGGGTCCGCAGGAGGGGTACCACCCAAAAGCAGTATCTAATGATGCACTGCTTGGAATCTCTCAAAGTCTGATGTAAACCTGTAGACGTATATGGGGTGAGTATGATCCTAAAACTTCAGGATGTAGCATATAGTATAAGCATAGAAAAACACTAAATACTAGCCCCCCTCCATACGTTGTCTGTGTCAGGTATTATATGAGCTAGAACAAAGAAGAATCAGAATAAATGGACCACAGAGCCAGAAAGAGCATAGAAATTGGGTTCCAGAACTGTGCCACACCACATATTGCCATATTTGGAGTGTACTATGTAATATAATGATGCCATTAGTGCACATGAACTATTGGCAGTAGCTGTGAATTGTTCTGTATTTTTCCGCATTTCTTTCGATTTTCTATGAGCTGCCAAGCTGCAATCTGCCATGGTCTATATATACCCATCAGCTATTTATAGCACTAACATGTGGAGTCCAGGTCCCGCCAATATATTCTGATTTTATCCGAATTTTTGCGCATTTTTTGGAGCCACCCAGGTGCCTGGATGATCAGCCAGCCTATTCTTAGCCCCCCAGGCCATTCCCGGGGCACCAGATCTAGCCCCGATCCCTGCCTGCCTGCCGGGATGCCGGGGTAAGCCATTCAAGCTCAGCCCGGTTCACGGCTGCCTGCCTGCCACCTGAAATCCCATTACATTAGGCCTGGACAATTGTCCCTAAACATTGTAAAGGAGCACAGGAGTGTTGTCCAGAAACATTACATTATTATTACAACATGGGCTGAGCCACTGGCTTCCTGACTGTCCGTGTCGAGACAATGTCAGACACCACACTTGACTTCACATATAGTGCACGTTGACCTGTCTACACTCTTGTTCAAGCTCAGGAATAATGTGGCTGAGACGTGTGGCTGAGCAGTGGCCAGGGTGGCACCACGTGCCGGGTTCGATGGCTGTGTCACATGGCATCAACATGGGCTCAAATTGGTGGTGTATGCATGGCAGGACACAAGTCCTGAGTTCTGCTTGATAAGTGATAGTATCAGGTGTATAAATTATCCAATTGATATATACAGTACTCTTTCCTATGCACATATCAAAATCCCTGTAAGGAGGGTGCCACCGAGTGGCGCTGAGTTTGGTCGAGTTTGGTTACTGAGTGATAGATGGACGGATTGGGCAAGCAGATCGTTAGACTACAACTATCTCAGAGAACCTGCTTAGCTCAATAGCCTATCTTGTATCTCTTGCAATAAGACGAGATTCTGTTTATTGGTGTGTGTGTGATACAACTTAACTGTACTGACTACGGAGGTTCTACAATCCCTTAGGTCTGTATCTGCAATGTCCCCTTCATTCTTACTTTGTCCTCCTGTGGCCCTTATAGTCCTTACCACTCCAACAGATTAAAAGTCTGTCTGTATTGGTGACTACAACAAGACTACAGCATTGGATTTGTACCCAACCCAAGGAATGGTAGCAGCTGCACTACCAGACATAAGTAACATAGATCAAAGTCCTCCTCCGCTGCCAATCTTTGATTGGCAGCTCTGTCACACAGGTCTCTTGTCCCCAGTGGAAGAGACAGTCAATAATACCTACAGACTCCATGTTACATCCTACCGGAACCATAGTGCTCGTCTGCTGCCAAACCTCAATTGGCGGCTCCCTCGCACTCATTTTCCTGAACCAAGCTGAAGGTCATGGTCATCAGAAAGAGTACTCAACAAATGAGAAGTTACACATGTACCAGCTTCAGTTCCTCAAGGGGACATATAGAGACCAATGAGTGGAAGCAATCAGGGTTCCAGAGGCAGCAGAGATTGAAAAACACAGGCCTAAGATACCTGTGACCAAAGAGATTGTATCATAGTCCTTGCCACCCAGATATAGACTCAGACTATGCATGGGAAAAACAATCAACGTTGAGATGAATTCCCACGGTAATAATCCATCAAACTATTCAGCAGTCAGCATATTACTTTGGAACACCAGTGCAACATTTGAGAACCTCTTATAGCCAACATAAGATCAATGTGTATGTTCCAGTCATGATTGGATTAATAGCAAGCACAACCCACCAAGTTGACATGCTTCAACTGCAGCAAGTACTAGACTAATGAGTATGACATCACTCAACTACACATTGGCAAAACGGGAAATCATCTTAGAGCGTCTTATGCATCTTAGCAAGACGTCTAAGATGTAGACGTAATAAGACGTAAACGATGATTAGATCTGAGAGCCTGTTTTCGAGTTTTAAGACGAAAACTCGTGCCCCCTATAGCAACATAGTATACCATATGTACTGCTGCTTTGTTGTACCAAATCATTTCTATTCTAGTGGACTGTTAGACTGCCAAGTATCCGGGTGGACTGAATAGCTATAACTCGTGCTACCGAAGGTCATATTTAAGCCTTAAGACGATAGGAGGCTGTAAGACGCCTAAGACGTAAGACATTTTCCGGCTTTCCCGATGCAGAAATGTGCTTCTTGCAGTCAAGCGCTATGTCATGGTAAGCAGGAGCCAATGAGGAGTCAGAGATCTCAACCGGCGTGGCACCTCAGCCAATGACTATATTTGTGCGCCATCACCATACTACACAAGTAGAGGATATTTGCAAGGCCCAAAAGTTTGCGGAAAGAGAGGCTCCACTTGTCTGAAGGACTCATGGATCAGTGTGGCACGCTCGCTCAGCGACGTGCGGCTGATTTTCGGTTTCCTTTGCGTCGCGTCTAACTACTACAAAACTTGTATGAGACGTATTGTAGGTATATGTAGAGGCTCGCTGAACAAGAATGAGGGCGAGGGAACGAGAAATATGAGTCTTGCAGACAACTCTGAAGGACGGGTGGAGCAAGGGCTACCGGTTTAGGTAGGCAGCCTTCGGCTAAATCTTTGGATCAGCAGCTCCGTTGTTTGGATCAAAAGTCGTACTTTGGGCCTTGCAAATACGCTCTAGTTATCTGAGCCGTATGCGGCCCGCGGACGACTGCGACTCAGAGTGACGTGACTGACACGGTCATGTGACCACCGTTATCGAAGCGCCACCTACGGTTCGCACGTTTCCTGCATTGTCCTGCAACCAAACAAGGCCGCAGTCGGCTAGGTGAGAATCAACATCGATTCATCGATAGAGCCACGCAGGACTATCACAGACCAAACTATGGCAAACAGCCCATGCGGGTCCTGCAATTCGAGCGATTTTTTAGACTCCGTACGTGGCTCTTCCTCCCTTTGAACCACACGCTAAGATGTCTAACTCTCCTGCTATGCACGCTCTTCCTACCACTCCATCTCCTCCTGTGTCTGATGTGTCTGACTCGTCGCGGTCATCCACACCCGAAAACGTGCCACCGGACGAACCCACCACACCGGTGATGGGCAAAATTCCCTTGAAAACACCGAATACAACACCCTACAAGTCTCAAGCGAGCGTTTCTGCCGTTTCTCAACATGAGTCCATTGAAAGACCCAAAGGATTTCACGCATCCCTGTACGGCTCTGAGGCCGGAGCACACACACCGGGCGCGTGGAGCATGGACGCATTCTTGTCCTGGTGTTTCCCTTCGGCTAATGCAGAGGACTCGATATCCGCGCTGAAGGAGAGCCAGATTGGAGAACTGAAAGAGCTATTGAACGATGTGAAACCAGGGGATAAAGGCGACAGGGAGCGACCCATGTATAAGCCTCTCGTACGTAGTCACCGCCTTCTAACCACATCATATTATTCTTGAAGGGCTTACGCTCTTCTTTATTCGTCCAGGTAAAGTCACTTCAGTATATTCTCGACCACCTCAGAGACAGAGGCGACACCATACCTCTGGCGGTCCACGACACATCACGGAAGTTCGCAAAGGGCGACGATAGACTGCGCAACATTGCCCCAGATCTGATGATACAGGTCGACAAAGGGTCCGATAAGAAGGATCGATGGCCCCATGCCCTCGGCCTTATTGAGGTGAAGCCGAATAGAGAGGAGGATCCCGCGAGGAATAACGACCCCAGTCGAGACATGACACAAGGTCAGACCAAGACATGGAACCAGCTTCAGGAATACGGCGCTGTCGCTTTCCAAGCTCGACCGCGATGCTACATGCTTGGTATGGGTATCTATGACGATATTGCCCGTTTCTACCGATGGGACCGCTCGGCGGTCATCTTTTCCGAGTCATTCCACTACAAGACAGACTTCAAACCTTTGGTGCAGTTCCTGCACGGGTTTGCGACGTTCTGCGGGAATACTATGGGTATTGACTCATCGATCACGACTGGGGTACCTGACGACTTCCCTCTGCCCCTCCTGCGGCGGATATATCACAAGGCTGTCGAAGATGGTGTTGTCAAGCACAACCGCAAGTTCACTGATAATGATCTTCCATATCGTAGCTGCTATATGGCAGCGCCCGCAAGTCCGACCTCCGATGATCCGGGAACATATGTTACTGTGGGCGGTCCCCTCTTCAGCTCGCGGTCCCTTTTTGGTCGCGGCACCAAGACCTGGTTAGCCGTATCGGCGGCAGCGTCGGAGTCAATCTACTCAGTGGGCAAGGAGATGCGCCAGTGCGTTGTCATAAAAGACGCGTGGCGCGACGCCGACCGACTGCCGGAGAAGGACATTTATGCGCGCATACATGAGAAGGGGCATATGTTCGGTGTCGCCCGGTGCCGAGGAGGCTTCGACGTCGAGACGGTAGTACACGCGCAAAAGAAAGAGAGCCACCATACTTGTGCTCCCAGGGTCAACGCCTTCTTGCCCGAGGCCAAATTCTGCCCACGTACACATTATCGAGTCGTACTAGAATCAGTAGGTATTCCCTTGAGCCGGTTCACATCGACTCGCCAGCTAGTCAAAGCCGTGAGGGATGCAGTAAAAGGTAAGCGACTGGCGTTTTCTGTCTTACATTGCGACTCATCTGTTTCACCAGGTCTCCGCGACATGGCCAAGGCGGGCATCCTCCATCGCGATATTAGCATCAACAACATCATGATCAGTGCTTCTCGCAAAGAAGAGCACAACGCTTGGGGTTTTCTCATTGACCCGGAGTATGCCTCCTTTATCAACGACAAGCAATCCACGTCCGATCTTCGTCGGATTACGGTAGGTCACGCCGCTTCCTCTAAAGATCGCATTGTTGAAATTGCTTCAGGGAACTATCCAATTCATCTCTATCGCCCTCCAACGGAAAACAAAGGGCGTCCCCCGCGTCGTACATCAATCGTGGCACGACCTCGAATCAGTTTACTGGGTTGTCCTCCACACCGTAGTGTGTCATGTCGACACAAATATCATGCCGGAGCGTGTACACGAGATCTTTGACCACTCCGGGGGATATGGCAAGCACGGATGGCTGAGTTCTGATGAATGGAGCACGGTGGAGGTCATTGACCATCCGCCCCTTACCCGATGTCTCCACGAGCTAGGCCGACTTGTCCACAGCCACCACATGGCAGCTGAGGAGAAGGACCTTTTGACCCATGAACGGGTCTTGAAGGCTTTTGAAGACACGCTTCGTGCTAAGGACTGGCCAAAGGCGGACCCGGCCGCACGCGAGTTCGTGCCATGTAACGACCCAACGAAGCAGAGGAACTTGGATACGTCGCAGGTAGTCTCCTCCGCTATGCGGTCCGCGCAGGCCAGCGGCATCTCAGATGCTATCGTAAATGCGTCAAGTGCTTCTCGTAAGCGCAAGGCTGGCGATGACGTGGAGGTACATCCCGAAGCTCAGTCCTCCGATAGCAAACGCAGCCGGGTCTAGATCGCGTAAGATGTTGATTCCCTGCTTCATGCGACGAACATTCTGCGGCAGCGAGCGTCTGGATATTCGCAAGCGCCTCAGTCTCCTGCTATGATAGACTCGTCCATTACCTTTATGCTTTTTCTGTTCATACGATTGTACCAGTTTATCGTACGCTATCCATGGTCCTTCCATAGCTTATTTATGCATCGTGTCTGAGATCGAACTTCAGCACCGGTAAGATGTCAGTCTCTGCCCACGCAGAACGTTATGGGTGCGTAACTTGATTTGATTCAGGACCAGTGTATGCGTAACCACACCTCTTGGTCATCTCGAACATTGCCGCGCCAACAGATGTCATGTACGGCGGTGGATTTCGTGATTCCAACCGTAACAGATGGTCCGAATCGTCCTCCTGGACTCGGTTACGGCCTAGCTTCACGCAAGGATGTCGTTATCGTACCGACTCTCCGCGACGTTATCCGCGAAGTCCGTCTTTGCGGACATGCTCAAGTGGATGCCGACAGGGAAGCGTATACACTTACTGGACAGGAACGGAGACCCTCGTCATCCGCCGCGTGATTGGTTCAAGATCGTGGACTCCCGTCCGCGAATGCGGGAGCTTCTGTATTCCACATCGACGCGGGGTGTACAACGTGAAAGTAACCGAACAGGCTGTGATCGCATCCACGCCCGCAGCGCCTAACGCCGCCAGCTCGTTCGGGAACTGCGGCAGCGCCAGTGCCTCATGTTCGTATGCAAGTCCCGATCTTGTATGCGATCAAAGGGTGGATCGTGAGTAACTGGCTTGGACTTTCCACGTAACAACTAGTTGATCCATGAGTCCTCCATAGGACAGTCGCCTGTCTTAGCCATAATAGTATCGCTCCCGCACTGTTCCTGAACGCTGTGAATCTCCACCAGTAACACCTGCATGCTATCCTCTTGTAATCGGCACTCAGGGTCACGACTCATTCGGACCTCATTTGGGACAGAGTGTCCGACGGGGAGATTGGGTTACCTCAGCTGATCCTCAGCTGAGGGCATCGGACCTCCCTGGAGAATGCTCTGCCGCAAACAAGCGTTCTTGGTAAATCTGCCCGTGACGATGCTCTGACAACCATCACTTCATCACCTTCACCCCTCCTCATCCCCGGGCGGCATTGACCGATCATACCCACAAGATCCCTCTCTTTCACGCCTTCTAGTAGTGCTGGATGATGCTGGATGAGGAGATGTATCGTCTGAGTGCAGACAATTGGGGGTGTGCATTATCTCGTACTATTGACGTGTCTTTGGCAGCCGAGACAGGGATAGTTAGGAAAGATTCGAGCTCCATAGGATTCGAGAACCTTCAGCGATTACGGCAATAGGTTGGTCGCTCGAGGGAATGCGAGCGGAACGCTTCATGAACAGCGGGAGGATTCGTCGAAACGTGCACGATCACTGGCACTGCTTCCGTCATTACCCTAACCCAAGTCATTCTTCTGCCTCGGCGGCTCTTGATGCACGCCGCTGCATCGACCGCAGCCTCCCTGTCTTTACTAGTAGATGTCTGCCCTTCTACCACAGGAGACGATTGTTACGATGGATCGTCTTCCTCTCGTACTGTCAGCCTCAAGCATGTCCTAGCATTTCTCGCTCCGCTTTTCTCCGTATTCGAGACTGTCTTGCTGTTTCTCTCAAATACAGTGGTACACGTACCTGCTTATGTTGCCTCTGGCCTTTCAAACACCAGTCCGCTTCTCCTCGTCTCCTCGACTGTGTGTCGTCCTCCGCCACTATTCGCTCTGGCTGAAATGATGGCTTTGCTGTGATTACCATCACTCTCTAGATCTCTTTTCTGCTGTTATTCTTATCTCTGTATTGCCTCTTTCCAATCAAGCTCTCCGTGATGATCGTACCTCGCACATTCCCGTCGTTGCTCTGATCCAGACATCTCTTCACACATCTGCCTGATTTAATGCCGTACAGTTTCTACTGCATTATTCGTCGCCTATATGAGACGGACTAGGGTTCTTTGGGATAGACGTCCGCCAATTGATATATTACTGCTCATCGTCACACTGAGAGCTGATATCAAGGCAGCTTCGTGAGTGCGTTCCGCTGCATCAAAGTAGTAGCATTAGGCAAGAGCCAGGTACGTCCACCCCATTCTTTCATCAGCAAGAGACCCCGGCGCCTTGGCCACAGCGCTGGTACGCTACGCAGCCGGTGCACAACAATTTTCAGCTACGACGGGAGACAAGCACGGAGGCTCGGTCGAGGCGCTTGAAGCGGCCCTGGATATTCCCAATATCGTTGGGCTTGAGAGCGGTTCGTCAATGGCGCTCCAACATCGGGGGGTGCGTGCTGATAGTACTGAAAGCTTATAAGGTGTAAGAGGCGCTTGGGCCAGCGGTCAAAGCGCGCAGGTAGGGCGAGCAATAGTGCTTGCCTGATGCCATCCAGCGATGGACAGTGATCAAGATAAGCGCTAAGCTATCGTAGAGACACAATAGCGCCCGCACCGCCCGTTTTGGTCCGCCGGTGTATGAGGGTGTGTCCCATACAATCCCGGGACGCGATTATCTTCTGATACCAAATAAGTAACTGCCACGTGTTCAGACGCACGGGAACATCCGGACAACCGAGAATTGTGTATCATTAGCCATTGTAGTGGAAGTGGAACTCGGCGTTAGGTGGGCCGATATCCGACTGCCACTAGTTCGACCTGTGTCGTGCCACATTTTTCGCCCGTCGCGATCACCCCCGCCGGTGCCGATGAGTGCTTGCCACAGTGCCCTTGCACCAAGCATTGCCCCCCCCCCCCGCCCGACGGTTAGGGTTTGGGTTAGGGGGGGCCGGGGGGGTTCCCCCCGGGTTTGGTCAGGGTTCGCGTTAGGGTACGCGGTTAGGGTGAGGGTTACAGGCTATCTTCAAAGGGGGGTCCGGGGGACAAGTCCCCGGTTGATTAGGGTCCGGGGCATCCCATATGAGGCATTGATCGGGCGGACTCACCGATGTGGCACGCCGCGTGTGTGGCAGCGAGGGCAATCTGGTGGAAGTCGGAATATCCCGCGCGGGTTCCACTTCCAGTAGTTTGGTATATACCCTTTGTTTAAACAAAAGGGCGAGTGCCAGTGACTTGCGATATTCAAATTATCGGGTTCGCGCATTCGATTTCCTGTATCGCTTGAAACCACATTGAATTCTCAACCCTTTTGGGGCAACGCCGGTCCTGATCGCGCTTCATAGGCACTGCCGTGGCCAAGGCTGCCACCGGAGGCCTCGCTGGGTGTGGCCTCCTGTACTTTCATACGGTCCTTACAAAACGTATAAAAGGGGGTGGAGGAAGACGGGGCAGACTCATCATTCTCCTTTCGCACCTCCTATCCATAGCTTCAACAGAAGGGTCTATCATCAAGAACCGTCATGTGAGTTTTCTCGAATCCCTCACCACTAGCCGTCACAGGGCTGACCTGCCCCCCAGGATAGCCGACCCTACCCTACCCGCCATGGGACATCAAACCTACCTCGCACTTAACCGATTTCAGTGGATGGCCAGCCTTCCGGGACTGATGCTGCGCAGTCCTTGTACAGAACTGAAGCTGCGTGCGAACTAACGCCACAGTTGTGGTGCAAGAAGACCTGTGTGGAGCCGCCGTCACCCAGAAGGCTGAGGAGGTCTAGGAGCCTTACGCCAACTGCCTCAGACAGTCATTCGAGGAGAGCAAGGAGACGTACCATCAGGTTGAGATCCCTCAAATACTGTATAGTCAATTCTGATGGCCTTGCTATATCAGCCAATTTCAGAAGACGATGTGTTCACATTCTTTCCGGTCAGACAGTCGCTTGCGGGTCGTACCAAGGTGATGCCAGTTTCCGTGTCCGTTCAAAAAGCAATATTGCTCACTGATCTTTGTCCGTAGAACGCCCACGCTCGGGATAGGACAGTCTCACAGAGCCCGGTCAGCAGTGTAAGTTCGAGTTTCACCGACGCATACTCCACCGCTTCTTCTGCCACCTGCGCCAGGACCCAACCCTCTCCCGATGCGCTTCCTTCACTGCATGTCTCCCAGCGGGCACTGGAAGACATGCAGCGACGAGAGCGTGGGGGTATACCTGTAGATAATATCTGTTTCCCTAATGTCTACAAGGTAGTATGCCATGAAAATAATGCTGGTGAAGTGCATACTATGAGTCTATGTCTCGTTTTCCTTTACCTCCGGGAAACGCGGTTGTCTTGACTACATATCTTTGGTCTGAAGGATGCAATGGCTCTTTACGAGCTTACTAGGCTCTACAAACTGACCATAGCATGCAAGATGCGGTGCATCAGGCTCTCATTTACGTCGTATTGGACGATGACGGAGGCTCTGAATTTGAGTACTATCGGAACTGTGAACGCAAACACATTCCGGCAGACATTTGATGACTTAGGTATGCCAGTGCGACCAGGGGATTGTAAATACCCTTGTCAGAAATAAGGACGACGCTTTGTATCTGTCTCCCGTGCCGGCGTAAGGGTCAATTCTTGGTGGTGGCATCGAACGGTCATAGGCCTAAGGCCTTGTTAGAACGTTCCGGCCACGCCACCGCACTTGTTAGGCTGCGCTTTCTTCAGCTGAAGGTGCGTCAATAGGAGACTTTGGGAAGCTACCAAATGACATCGGGTCGCATCTGGGGATAGGTGATGAGTGGAGAACATAGGGGATTTGGCCTCAGATGTCAGATGTCAGATGTCAAGGTCCGACGATAGCTTTGGAGACAAATGCGGCCAGAATGGGCGCACACAGGGTTTTCGCTGTCAGGAGCTTATGCAAGGATTACCATTTGGAGAGAAGAAGGTGATGGAACTTAGACGGAGCAGGCTGCTGTGGAAAGCCTCCGCGAGCCACCACACAAAACATATACAAGGTGGTCGAGCGAGCGAAAGTGACTCACCAATCCCTCCTTCGACACATCGCCTCACTTCTCAATAAACGCGTTTCACTCTGTCTTCCCTCTGCATAGCGGCAGCCGCGACATTGTGAGCGCTACATCATTGTGGTACGGTTGTACTTACCCACCGGTGCAGATCACTGGTGAATATCTGGGAACAGCGGGTGCCACGACTGAGGTGAGTCGTCGCACTCACCTTAGTTGTGGCTCTCGTTTTCTCCTATATTCGCAAACCTAACTCTCCGCCTTCCTCGTTGGGACTGAGCATCCGAGGCGTGCTCCGACCACCAATGAGGAGGC